TATACAAATACATATTACAGTAAGTAGTTTATGAATGACTGGACAAAATTTCCCTGAAAGCACACGACCGGCTTCGCGATTTTTTCCCGCTCGTCAGGTAGCATGCCTCATACCAAGTTCCCATAAAACCCCCATGAAGCCAGCTTATTCCATACAAGAAGTTAGGCGTAGCAACGTAAGCATATGGATGGATTGATGCGGTTCACAGGTGATTATAAAACATTTCATCAGACATGGGCAGGACAGTCTACTGTGGAATCGAGAGAGGAAACCAATGTGTCTATCCTCAAGTGGGGTCACCCCATTCAGAGTTGGATTGAAACTGAAAGTCACATTTGGGTAACAAGAAGCTTCAGTCGAAGTTTTGCCTCTCCCCCTCCCTTCTTCATATTAATCACAGATGTCATTTCTGTCAAGAAACACCGGTGATTCATCGGAAAATAGTATTGTTTGGTTTGTGAACGCATGTAGCAGGACATATGCTAAGGAAGTCCTATTCACCGCAATCTTGTAACCGGTTGTCTTTCCTAAAATTAGAGAGCGCACTTTATATTCAAAGTTATAGCCGACTTGATGAGTCACAACCAACCCACTAATCTAGGAGGAGCTGAAAGCTCCTGGTTCCAAACCTTCCATGAGGAAAAGAAGGAACGGACTACGGGACATTCTGCTCATGATCCTCATCGAATAGATTCGGCATTCAGACGTATTGGGCACTTTGAATGTGTAAACCGTGCCTCAAAGAAATAAATCTGATTGACCAGACACAACCTCCGTTGAATGCTGGATTTTGCATATCTTCCTGTTATCTTTCTTCATTCAGTCAAAGGCTCCTATGACAAATGGTTTGGAAAACCAAATGCTTTTGTTCANAAGTAGTACCGCTGCAAAACACAAAATAATTTATTTTTCATACCAACAATGGTATCATGAATTCTCGAAATAAGCTGAATCTAAACTAGCGCACCATATAATAATTAAAATGATTGATATTTATAGTAATGATTTCGTCTAATTATATAAACTAATTGCTACGGTGAAAAAGAAACTGTACATTGAATAAAATAGCGCATGGAATAATTCTTCCATTCAACCAACACCAGGGAACAGAAACCGGTTGTTCTCGACTCACTTTACCGGTTGCGCATCATCTGATTGCATGTGTCGCGACAGTTCGTTCAACATAGCGAGCACATCATGCGACCCAAGTAGATTGCTTGAGAAATGCAAACTGGTCAAATGGGGGGCCATCTGAACTAGAATGTTCAGAATGCCAACAGACGAGCCAGCTTCCGAGTGAACGATTGTTGTCAAACCGTTCCCAGACAAAGATAGCTTCGTGATGACCCGTATCTGGCCGTGGGAGAGCAAACAGTCACACAATGTCGCACAATCCTGATTCCCCAGAGCCAAATGGGACAAATCGACAATGCCGGTCCGTCTAGCCTGATCCAACACTGTTTTGAAATGACGTGTTTGAACGATTCTTGGTAAGGTGTGACCTGATCAACCATCGGAGATTGGAAAGGGGTGAAATTATTGGGAAGCACACACCTATGCGAAATGCTTCACATTATCTGGCGTATACAGAACTTCACGAGAAAAAACCAACGCTTGATTCAAAGTCACAGAAATAAGTGGTCTTCATTAGGGAACGTGAAAGAACCTTTGGGTAGCAGTGTGCTCATTGACAGGAGATAAATAAAATGAGCGACAGGATTCGAACTAATCGCACCTTAGTGTGAACAAAGCCAGATGAATTGAAATTGAGTTGAACGCACGAGAGATTTTGGATGTTCAAGATTCGATGTTTCGGCGATAGATATTACACTGTTCAAGGCACTGAACGAGCTTAGTGGGGAAACCGGACAAGTCATGGTGAGGTTAGGACAATTTCAGAAACAATTTGTCGACCTCCATAAATTACGCTGGTTGGGACATGTATTGCGCAGGTCACTAAATGGGTTACCACGGCGAGCAATTTTTGCAGAGGCATGAAGCGGTTGGAAAAGGTCGAGGGCGGTCAAACTTGGCATGAGGGTATGAAAACCCTAACCAGGACATTCGGTCGCATAGGTCCCGTTAGGCTTCCTGGATGGAGACCCCGAGTTCATGGCAACCGATGGTTAGAGATGCTGAGTGACGCAAACAGTGGCGCCCGTGCATCTACTCATTATTCTTGTAACCCCAGTTTAAATGAATTCTGTATCTTCCGATCGAATTTGCTTTCAACATTCCAATTTTCATTTTGCTCTTTTATCCAAATGGGCGTCCGAAAGACACCGACCAAAACCGACGCATGAAAATGCATGGTTAATGGTTGTAAAACTGAAGCTGATAAAGGCTCCTTATGATATGTGCCTAACCATGTTTCCGGAAGTGGAGGAGCGAGCCAAAAACACCTGGGTTTACAAACTACAGTCAATATTCTGTTATGTCGCACCCTTCGGTAATTCGAAAAAGTGGGTAAATTCCAGGAACTACGACATAGCAGGGTAAGCAGTAGTAGATGATAATAAGTAGTATAGAAATCGGCTGACAGATCCTGTTGCAAAATAAACCGAATCGATGAAAAGTAGGTTAGTCCCATTTGTTGTTCCCAATGTTTATAATTATTAACTGTTTATTTATAACGGAATTTAGATCTACCGTCCTGCGTATCCTTTATGGATCGAAGAAATTTAAATATTTTATGACGCCCTTAGCTTAATATCGGCACATTGCATGCGGTATTCAGATCCTTTTCAGTTCTATGTGTATAGTTATCCCGAAACTACCTACTTTTCTTCAGGGGAACTTTTTCTGGCCCAATTATCCCATATTAATTCCAGGTATTGCTCCATTTCGTTGCAATTTTAGGCTTACCACAGAATTACATGACGTCCACCATAATAAACAACTGTTTTAGCTATAATAATTACATCATTATTAACCTATTCAAGGAAAACAAAGGTGAACCAGTTCGAAAGCAGTGAGAAGAAAATAACATCTAAAATGAGTGAAATATCTGTTACGGGGTATACTGAGAACATTTAATTCCTTCCCATATTCAACTTGATTGTTTGCTGTGCATTCTATCCATGATTTTCTAGTGAAAAATGTGTATCATTAGCGTCTGTAGGCATCTATTCGTTCGCTCGCTTTTGTTGTAACCAGTGCATGTGCAAACCGATTGATGCACTCTTCATGACCGTTGTTGGTCGGACTAACCTCAACACGCGATGCTATGACGTGATTCATAAGCCATACCTTTTTCAATTTAAGGTACCCCAGTATCATTTTAATATCATGTTGCTATGTGGATAGTAAGATAGTCCGATTACTCCATCGTTTCATATTGTCTTGGACTTGTTATCATGTTTGGTGAAGGTACGCCTGCTGTACAACCGAATTTCACTGGACCTGGTAAAGACCCGTGGTTGTAGACAAGGTGTGGTTTCTCACTCGGGTTATAGGTGGACAAGCACCAGGTTCCTTGTTTCGGTAACCTATCCGATTGATCGATAAATGAGCCCGATCGGTCGTGTGATTTTCGGGCTGGCATAGTAGGAGGATAAGTTCTGAATCGGATGCTGCTTAAGTTTCGGTCGAGAATCACCACAGGAGAATCAGTTGTGGAACGATACATCATGTGGGAGATTCGGAATGGAGAAAGTTCAGGCGATGATGACACTGGGCTAACACGTGACTCGTCTAAGACATGCACTATTTTTTAAGCGGGTTCTCGCTCAAATTTTCCGGCAGGCGTGAGACGGGAGTTTACTGTTCAGCCAACCGAAGGCCATAGACGCCAGCCTACAGGAATTCCGGCTACTCTCAAGCAGTTAACGATTCATAAACTAAAAGTGCATCTCACCAACTGGCCTTAGACCCGAGTTACGATGATCTTTGGCAAGTGACCTGTGTAATTTCATCGGTGCTCTAGGACAAGTGTGAGTATCATTCATTCATTCACACCGGCGCGTCTGCGCGACGGTGTTTATTGATCGCTCGGATCTGACATCTCACTCCACTCACCCGCTTACCAGTCAATCGCGATTATCGTTCACCTGTTTGCACGTTTGTGCGGCAGAGCCCATCGATAGACCGAATGACCGTGGCTTTGGTGACCACTGTAGCAAAAATGACAACATTCGAGCGCCCCACAGTTCTGTTCAGTGTCCCACAGAATTGCAAACAAAACTTTGCAGGTTACAAAGATGTATTTTTAGAAAAATCACAAGTCGTCGTTTGTTTCAGTTTGGCTCTCCTTTGGAAATCAACAAACGCGCTGTTTAAATCAATTGTACACTCCAATAATCGACCCACGCTTCGAGTATTAGCCAAACAATAACTTCAGGGCTTCTCTGATTGAGATAACTTCCGGCGCATTCACTGCTTCACATTCATCTTCTTTGCGCTGCTTAGCTTGATTGGAAACGAATTCATGTAATGACTAGAAAAGAAACTTGATACAAAAATTTTAAATAATCCATTACTTCATCATCAAATTCCAAACAGGCGATTTCTTCTTCTCAACGACGGTCATTAATATACAGATAATTAGCAAATTCCTCGATCAAATTGCATTTATCCTCTGATGGCTGCAACACCGGCTGAATCTATGTGGATTTGAACTCAGCTTTCATGAAAGCGTTGATCAATACCTGGGGATGCACAAACACCGAAACTTTCTTGATTAGATGCATGGCCACGAGAATGTCCGTCTCGGCTTTCATGATAAGCTGATCATCTTAAATCAAAGGCGAAACATATTGCAGTAAATATTTCCGAAACGAATATTTGAAAGACCAAATCACGCCCTGATCCAAAGGTTGTAACATCCAAGAACAGTTCGGAGGCAGCCGTACCAATTTGACGTTGGACAGTACTGCGGTCTGGTTATGGCCAGAGGCGTTGTCCATAAATAGTAAAATAGAGTGCCTTTGAGAAACCATTTTTGCGGTTGACATCGGACAGCCAACTGTGAGACAAAGTAGAAGTCATCCATGCGCTCTCTGAAGAATTATAACTGCATGGAAGGCTTTTCTATCTATACGTCAGAGGCATCGTGGAGTTTGAAACTTACCCACAAGCAACGGTGATAACTTTTCTCTATTCATGCTCCCACAAAGCAGTAACGTGACCCTCTCTTTGGAGTTCTTGAACCCAGAAACTGCCTTTCATTTCAAACTTAATGTTATTTCTGGGAGCTACCTGCAATAAAAAGTTGTTTCATCTACATTGAAAATATCACAGTCAGCATATCCATGGATTGACTGCCGTAACTCCTCTCGAAACTCGTCCACTGCATCACATGGTACCGCTAAACTTTCTCCACAGACCTATAAAGTAATACACATGAGTTACTTGTTTCTTACTTTGTACGATTTAATACCATATTTTTCTGACCAAGAGCGAAACCTTTGGAAGCCTTGAATTCATTACGATGCAATCTTTGTTCTAGCTGGATTGCCTTCTTACGTACGATGCTATCCACCATGGGGAACTCTCCGTGCTTTTTGCTGATAGCAGTAAACCAAGCCAAAGTTGCCTCATTCACTGCCTTGAACTTTTCGTTGGTTTTCAGGTGGCATCTTTCCTCAGATGCTCCAGCGTTCAGAAATTCCCCGATAGTCGTTCGATGGGATACAACATTGTGAACAGTTTTTTGTGAAATTCCAAGTGATTTGGCTACGGAGCTCTGAGTTGCACCTGGCTGTTTCAGCATTTCCAATACATTCTGCTTCTCTCTTATAGATAGGCGCTTGCACATTTTGGCGTCAAATGACACTGTCTCTGATCACTTGCATCGATGTGACTTCCTCGCAAGCATTATCCAATCAGTGAACAGTGCCATGAACGCGTCATATTAGGTGCAACGCCATTCGTTGAGTGCGACATTTCAGGGTAGATGATCAATGGTAGTCCCGAACATCGGTCAAAGACCAAGTGAGTACGTATCAAGAACTGCAACGTATTGAGGAATGAGACATAGCATAGTCAGAAGCTACGTTATTAAGCATACGGTTGGTTTGAGTTTTCGAAAAAGTGGGAAGATATTGGAAAATGCCACTTCTCAGGAGTGCGACATAGCAGGAGATTGACTATACAACTTTCGAACCGGATTACATAAGCCTGTGGCTTGGCTCTCTCTGCCCAACATACGTAAGGAAGACGTTACCTGCTATGGCGGACAGTTGTCGCGAAACACCAGTTCGGAGAACAATCAAACAGCAAACATCATTATTCCGAACTGCACAAATTCAACATTATATTCCCCTATTTATTTGTACGGTTACTCAACCCCTGTGGGCTCAGAGGCGCTTCAGCTGATCACAAACAATGTTGACATCGACTGTGCAACAAAAATGTGATCTATTTGTATTCAACTTATGCAATACTTAGTCGTCCACTCGGTGATACAGGGGCGCATCTGACTGCATCGTCAGATGTCAAATCACTTTGTTTTCGGCGGGATAAATTGTTCAAGCAAAGGAAAATGGCGGATAAATTAGTAACTATGTAAGCCACAACCGGTGTAGCAAGTCACAAGTTACTTTCACGTATCTCTCTGGTGGCGTTCATTAAATTTGTATGACTTATCGAACGGATTCGCTCTATTTTCCTGGTACTGTAATTGTTGATATTTATATCACTCCTAAATTTCATATTTCCTTCAATTTACTATCGACTTTCTGATCTATCTCCACGTTTCCTAGTTTATTTTACTCATAACCTGAGCTGTATCTTTCCTTTGGCAGACATATGACTAAAGTTATCATGAATCCACCGCCTTTTGTTCTCACAAAAGCCGAGCGGTTAGCTTGACTTTGTTTTGATATCAGTTTATGTTTGCCGAGACCCAAGTTTATTCTTAGACTGAACTCGCGAATCATGTATTGATGTTTATCACCACTGGAACATTTCAATAGACAGAGTTAACTCTACGTGGTTGGTTTCGTGTTTTAACAGAAGTTTTGATTGGTGACCTCAAGCTACAGGTATAAGTCGAACTGATATTGCTAGGACGTCTTTATTGAACGCCCAACAAAGAAGAGCACCCACAAATTCAAATCGCTTCATCCTACCATTTGACAGTGGATTGATCCCACTGGCGATTAAGGAGCAATACAAGAAGCGGAGAAAGCTTATCTACTGACCTAGTTTTCCAATGAATTTCGTTTTGCCTGTCAAAAAAATATCCATCCCACATTATGAGCTAGAAGCAAGTAAATAGTGAGCACCTTGTTGCTGGTGGTCTCCCATACGTGCCATTTTAGATATCGCAGAAGTTGCTGCACTGATGAGAAAATTTTTCGATAATTATCATCCTAGAAATGCATTCGCGGAAGTTATATTTTTCCCAGATAAGCTTTAGTATAGCATTCGGCTGATCGGCTTATTTAGGATAATCCGAATAGTATATGAACTCGAACGGTGCGACCTCGGGCTTCGGACGGAGTATTCACTGACTATAGTACCGAGTCAGGTCGAACCGAGGTGAGTTGTGGATACAATATATTTCCATTCAGAGAAAACCATGCGAATAGACAACACAAGTCACATAGCTCGGGTGAACTGAATTCTATTCTGCCTATGTGAAGTGGCCCCTTCACAAGCACTGACGGTCTCTCCTCGGCTTTTGATGAAACGTTTGCGAACAAATTACCAGACTCGGTAAACAGAAAGACACCACAAGTCCCAGAATTTATTGGCTCAAATGACGGACTCATATTGAACCATACAAACTGTCGATTGAGGATGTCGTTCGTATTCCGAAAAGTTAAGCACCGAAATATGCACCCTTATTGAAACAGTCAAAGCGAGAGAGCGGAGGAGAGAAATGCACCAGTTCTGTTTACTTGGTGAACTTTGAACGATGTTCTCGGTTTTAGCGAGAAACAAACGAATGATTTCAAGGCTGTTCAAATTACTCAGAAACCCCTTTTTTCTCGGTCTCTATGTATGTATGTATGTATGTATGTGATCAAATGAGAAAATGAAATAACGTCATGGAAGGAAAACGTGTCAGTTAGTCAATCAATTATTTTATTCACCCCCGACAATGGTGCATTCTCAGCTTTCGGTTCGATCGAATATTTCGTCATCCAATACACTGGTGATATATAGAAAGCCAACTGAAAACAAATCCTGAATCAGGAATTCATCGAAGGTTGCTGCACCCACATCTGGAAGTCTATACTTATTCCGTGCTGCTAAAGACGATAGACATTTACTTAGTCAAGTGGGTCAAGTGGACGAGCCGTGTAAAAAGAAATTTTGCGGTCACCTAAGTACTACCGGTTTTAAACAGAGGTGCTTAAACAGATGCGAGAATTCCCGCGGCATTGTTCAGACGTATCTGCTAAGGTTGTGTTTCTTCTTGAAGCTCCAAAAGCGTTATTCATGACCGATAAACGTATTGGGAAAGAAAACCAGATGATCCCGCCTCCCCAGTACCGGGACGGGATAATAATAATAATAATAATTCAACCGATTGAGAAGGAAACATTCCACTCATTCCCCACCCCGCGAACATTTACTCTACATTAAGTACTCAAAAAATCCACACTTATTGCTTTATTTCCTCCCACACCGGGCCGGTCTTGCTCGATTCGACAGAACTAGGGAATTCGTCCCCATACATTCAACTCACACGCCACTGATTACGGGGAGGACATTGGTGATTGTTTTGACCAGGTGGAAGATGGACAGTCGAGAACACAGTTAAGACAAACGGGCCGGCTCAATGGTCTATGGTGGCTGTCGCATTCCAGCCGGGTTGCGATACACATACACACATACACACAAATACATGCGCCCTTAGATTCGGCCCGAACGGGGTAATCCCCGAGAAAAGGGTTTTACAGTATGCACTTTCCAGCACGGTTTGAGTGACAGCTTCGCATGGTCAATTGTCACAGAAGACAATATTTTTGAGTGTCGGTAATTGCCGACCGATGGGAGAGAGCTTAGTCTATGGTTCAAAACTTTTTCTTCATTATTAGTTGCGAAATAAACAGATTCCCGGCGGAGGGGTGTGGGTGCACGAGGTGTGGTGCATGGAAGTGAATGGGTGAAACGATTCCCTGAAATGAATCCTTCTGCTTCGTGTACGTCACCGTGTGCGAATGGTGGAGACATTCGTGCTCGTCCAAACGCGTCAACTCAACAATGACTGACAGCCGTCATCAGTTCGAGAAAGATTTCCAAATAAAGATAAATTGAACTTTCTCGACCGATTCGCCCGTTTCCCCGCCGGAGCAGAGTGAGATGCACGGAATTTCTTGATTCTCTTCTTCTTTGTTCGAAACAGAGAGAAAAACAACCGTTTTCCCTCTCTCTAAATTCCAGTTTATTTAGAAATGATAATAGCTTAAAACAAAATGCTTTTCCTACAGTTAAATGCTCCAGTAAAGAGAAAAACACTCTTCGCGAGATGACTGGTTACACAAAATTGTAACGGGAGAACATTTCCTGGCGACATTTCACATCACATCAAACACACACACACATATATATATACACTGCGATAAATTAAACAGGGACCAATTCACTTTCGCCCAGTAATGGTGAATTTATTTATGCTACTCCAGTGATTGACAAACACAGGATGACAACTTACCGAAACGGGTTCAAAAGAGATGGGACCTGCTACTTGTCCGATAGGATATTTCTACGGTTTAATCGTTTTTTTTGTAAAAGAAGGAAACAAACGAGATATGTCATTCACTGTTTCGGGTATGGAGAAATCGTGCTATGTAGCCTAAATCCACTGCGTTATGGAGTTCTACTAGTGATGGAGTGTGAAGTATGCCAGCATCTCATAAATTCTTTGATTGAAATACTCCAAAATTGGCGAATAAATGAAGTGGAATAGAAGCGTTCTCACTGGTGTTGCACATTGTGGTATGAAGAAAATAGACATATGCAACGAAGTCGAGGACTAATTTGAAAGGATGTCAACTGATGCGGATTTCGGGCGATAGTGCTCAGCATGAATCGTCTCGGTTATGCGGTGGTTGATAGACCAAAATCGATTTACCTCAAATTTCACCGTATTGTGTGATTATAATCAGTTCACATGGGCCATCTCAGGGGGGGGGAGGAACTATACTTTGTAAACAGTTCAGTATCTTAGGTCCATGTTCTAGTATCAAATTCAGGTATGGATGGAATACTGTGCGCGTACGGTCGAGTGCGTGCTCACAACAGAGGTAGAAGCAGCGTTGATTCAAATTGACTGAAGCACAGTAATAGACCCAAACTTCGAACGGATGTGACTGAATTGCTTACACTCTGAATCAAATCGAAATTCTTCACAGCTGCGGACGAAGCCCTGACACAGTTTATCGTCCTAGTTTGCACGGTTTGTTTAGTTCTGATTTCAGCCACTTTTCGCCTCATCTCGGCAGCGCTAAGACATCTCTTACATGGTCCTTCAGTTTCAAGCCTGAAGAAGAAGAATTGTACTGATCTACTGAGTGAAGCCAGACGGCAGTTTATTATCCTCGTTGACAGTCGTCTCATCCCGCCTTCCCAAATCAAGAGCACTACTCTGCACCAGACAGAAGCGAGAGTAAGGGACAGGAAGTATCCGCTATCACAAGGGAAATTTCCAGGTAAGTTGCAAGCTTCTCTGGATAGTTTGAGTGCTACGGTAGCCATGTTCGTTATGCGTTTGGCACCTTCACAGTGTAAAATGTTGTTGTTGTTGTTGGTCCATCCCAACCTCATCCTGATTGGGGTAATCGTAGGTAGGTAGGTAATCGT